TGCAAGTCTTGAACATGTGCTCATTGGAGCGGAGGAGAGAGAGGTACATGATAATATATACCTGGAAGGTACTCGAGGGCTTGGTTCCAAATCTGCACACTGCCATAACAACATACTGGAGTGAGAGATATGGGAGGAAGTGTAAAATAAACCCAGTGAGGAGCAGGGGTGCAGTGGGGACAATAAGGGAACACTGTATCAACATTCGAGGTCCCAGACTTTTCAACACCTTACCAGAAGATATCAGAAACACTGTTGGAACAAGTGTAGAAGCCTTCAAGAGGAAACTGGACAAGTATCTTCACCAGGTGCCAGATCAACCAGGCTGTAATGGGTATGTGTGGCAGTGGGCCCCCAAAGCAGCAAACAGCCTGGTTGACCAGGGGAGCACCAATGAGCCTGGCCCATGGCTGGGCTCAGAGAGTAGATATACTCTCGAAATTCTTCAAAGGTATATCAAAGGTAACTTGAAACCATTGCTGCGAGTCCTGTCTTGGCTGGAAATTTTCAGCACGCTCCTTACATCCCCTTTTTTTTATCCTGTTTTCCATTTATAACCCCTCGTCATATCCCCCTAATTCTAGGCCTTTCAAGAGAGTGCAGATTCATGACCTTCAGTCTATCCTCATAGGGAAGATTTCTGATACATGGGATCAACTTTGTCATCCTCCTCTGTACGTTTTCCAGAGCATTTATATCCATTCTGTAATACGGTGACCAGAAACTGAGCAGCATAGTCTAAATGAGGCCTAACAAGGATATATAGAGTTGAAGAACAACCTGAGGACTTCTATTGTTATTACTTTTAGATATGAAGCCAAGAATCCTGTTAGCTTTACTGCGAGCACTAATGCACTGTTGTCTTGGTTTTAGATTACTGCTAACCAGAACTCCTAAATTTCCTTTTCGGGAATCAGTAGTAAATTTAAAATCTACATTATTTAGTTTATATTCGCATGTTTTTTTTCCTGTCCAATATTTAGAACTTTGCATTTGTCTATATTAAACTGCATCTGCCCACTTCTCCCCACCATTGCATCAGTCTATTTAAATCATCCTGGAGTGCTTTAGTGTCCTCTTAGAATGAATTTTTTACGGCCTATTTGGTGTCATCAGCAAATTTGGGTTATGTCGCTATTTATTCCCACATCTATGTCGTTTATGTAAATTGTGAACAACAAAGGGCCAACACTGACCCTGAGGGAAAACCCGCTTGTGATGTGCCCCCATTCTGATTTCTCCCCATTTATGCAAACTCTCTGCTGCCTATTTTCAGCCATGCCTCTGCCCCGGAAAAATTTCTCCTATTCCGTGTGCCTTAAGTTTCTCATAGCTCGGTGAGGAACTATCGAAAGCCTTACTGAAGTCCATATACACAATATCAATATTTTATTACCATGATCTACCTCCTCAAACACCTTAGTGAAAAAAGTTAGTAAGTTCGTAAGACAGGAACGCCCCTTTATGGAACCGTGTTGAGATTCATTAATCAATCTATGCCTGTCAAGATGACTACAAATTGATTTTTCAATTATTGATTCCATAAATTTTCCCACTATGGAGGTAAGGCTTATTGGTCTATAGTTCGAAGCCAAGGACCTGTCACCTGCCTTGTAAATAGGTATTACATTTGTCATTTTCCACTTATCAGGCACTATGCTAGTTTTCTAGTGATATGTTAAAAAATAGGAGATTTGCTGTTATGCAATACAGCCTCTCCTTACTTAACAACGGAGCTTCATTCCTAAGACCATGCCAGTAAATGAATTCTTCACTAAGTGAGAAGCATAGTATAATGGTCAACCAACTTTGATATTGTTTTAATGTCACCTTTGCACCATTTATAACATTTCTGGTATATTTTTAAATGTTTATACAGTAGTGTACTGTGTATTGTAACAAACAAAATGAGGAAATCAGCTTTAATATACATTATTTAGGTATGCATACTGGTTAGAGAGCCCGTTGTAAGTTCAAGTCATCGGTAAACGAGTACATCGCTAAATGAGGAGAGGCTGTATTTTAATACTAATTATATAAATAATATCACCGCATTTATGAACGCACATTAGACCCACCAGCTGACGTGTATTAGATGCATGATATGATTTGTTTACTGTTGAACATTGGCAAAAATCGAATTTTCCACTACTTTGAGCTCAATTTCAAGCTATTGTCAGTACTAAAAACCAATCAGAATCATCTCTATTTCTGTAATATATCCTCCATTCTGTCGAATGAGACCAAGAAACCATTAATACAAACCATAAAAAAACATATGAAAATACACCGCAAAGTCACTGTTTTATTCCAAAAACACGGTCGCAGTTTTTTTCTCGTTATGCATTGCAGGATTTGTTTTATATGGTGCACACTTACCACATAGATGCATTCTCTCATATCTAGGCCCAGATTTACTGCTCACAGCTTTTCTGAGTGTGCTGAGCTGATTACGTATTACTATGGGACGGACCCTCAAAGGCTTAATACAACCTCAAGTGATGTAGTTGAAGTTTTGGCAGTAAAGATTAAAAACCAAAACCATGTCACTGTGGTTGTATACAAACCTCTGGATGCAACTTGCCAACAATTCCAGGAGCTGCTTTTGAAAATTAACCACTGTCTGGAAAATCTTTCAGATCCAGCCCAAAACATCTTGCTGCTGGGGATTTCAACTTAAGACACCTAAAATGGAGGAGTGTAACAAATAATGCTTTAGCTGAGATAACCCCTGGAGGCAGCTCAGATGAAAATTCACACACATATGAGCTATTAAATCTCTTCAACAAATTCACCTTAAACCAGCAAATAATAGAGCCTACAAGACTGGTTATAGGATGTATAACCATATCAAAAACAATACACTCAGATCACAACATAATACAGGTATGTGCAGGGCTCCTGACCAGCAAAATGTGATCAGTTATGAGGGTATGTTTACCAAATTCAACCTCAGTAACATGAACGTGCAGTGGGATCAAATCAACCATGTCTTAAACGAAACAAGCTTAGAAGATATGCTAAACAACATGGATCCAGACCTCTGCCTAGAAAGAATTAACTCTGGTGCTTGAGGTATGCTCAAAGCATATTCTTTTAAGGAAAAAGGAAGAGAAGGTTTAAACTACAAAGAAAGATGCTCCCTATACAGGCGAAGGTAAAGAACCACAGAGCTGCTGAAAGGGGCCAGAATATCTGAAATATGATGGGAGGCATTGGGCAGAGAAATAGCAAAAATCAAGCTTTAGTTTAAAGATAATATTTTTCTATTGATAATAAAACAAAACAAAACAAAAAAAAAATTCTGATCAGTACTTTCAGAAATACAGAGGCGTGAAGTTGGCCTCAGTGACTGGGTGGCAGCAACATCAGTGACCTCCGTAAATTTGCATTTTTTATTTTACTTTTTTTGTTACTTTTTTCTTTTCTTTTCTAATTTTGTTTTATTCCAGTAATATTTGTGGCCTGTGAGACCACTATAATGCATAATGTATATATGTACACTTGTTGTATTCAACACAATAACTGCACTAATATTTTCATCATTATTTTGTTTACAATAATTGTTTACAACAAAAAACATGCAAAAATGTATATTAGTAATGTTCTATTAAATATTTGCACATGTACAGTTACTGGACATGTTCCTAGAACTGCTGCAGTCTCTGAAAGTCTTTGAAACAAGATGTCATGCACAGTGGTGTCTTACTCATCTGTGGACCAGTATGATTTTATATTATGCTTATAGACATTAGGCATACGTATTATTGTTGGTGGCTAAAGCTCCCGCTTCACACACGGAGGGCCCGGGTTCGATTCCCGGCGGGTGGAAATTCCGACACGTTTCCTTACACCTATTGTCCTGTTCACCTAGCAGCAAATAGGTACCTGGGTGTTAGTCGACTGGTGTGGGTCGCATCCTGGGGGACAAGATTAAGGACCCCAATGGAAATAAGTTAGACAGTCCTCGATGACGCACTGACTTTCTTGGGTTATCCTGGGTGGCTAACCCTCCGGGGTTAAAAATCCGAACGAAATCTTATCTTATCTTATCTTTAGCCACAGTTGTCTCCTTCCACTGGTGGATGACAACACACTTTGTCCTGGAGCTACTGATATGGTACATTGTATCATATGGTACAATGGCACAATATGGTACCATTGTACCATGTCATACCATTGTATGATATGGTACCATTGTACCATATGTTACAATGTACCATATGGTTCAAACCCATAGAATTCCTCTTCAGATCCACTTCCATTAATGTTAGAACTATAACTTGGGAAGAGGAGAGTCCCAATTCGCCGGGGAGTGAGAGTTTCCTTGCTGCCAGGCATGATGAACAAAGCATACTGTACTAAGATGGTGTTACCACAATGCAGTGCAGGTGCTCTGATTTTTTGTTTATTGCGTTTCTGACCACGCAGACCCATTCTCTTAGATGTAGGCCTACCAGCCTTCTCGCACTAAATTTGAAGCTGCTAGAATTTCGGTGTAGATCTATGGCTTGGACCCTGGCTTCAAAGCCGTAGATCTACAGGACAGATACTGAAAGTGTTAATAAAAAACAAAAATGAAAAGGGGCTTCCTTAGGGGCCCCTGTCACTCCCTTCAGCAAAATTATAAAAAAAATTATTTCCACCATTTTGAAGACTTATTTCACACCATTTTCCATTTCACTAGTATGGTAATTGTGCCTGAGAAAAAGACCCACACAAGAAAATGTCTTAGTCTTTAATATTAACACAAACAGGTCAGAAATTCTTCCCATCATGCACTACCAGAAACATGATAGTTTTTATACTGTGCAGAGCCACTGTATAGACCCATTCTCTCATGTCTAGGCCAAAATATACTACTCACAGAATATTTGAGGACAGTTTGATTAAAATATAGATCTACATCTGTGATCTGATTCCACAGATGGATGTACATAAGTGACAGTGAAAAGGTTAATATTTGTCCAGTATAATTCAAGTACATATCTTAAACACAGGCATCACGTCCAGTTCTTCAGACAATCGACTACAGGCAAAACATCATCTTACTGTTTGATCACCGACAACAGGCAAACATCACTCCAGTCCCACTGTTGACCACTGAAAAAATCAAATACCACTCACAGCTCATTAATGATGGTAAGAATAATTAAAATACTACTCACAGCTCATTAACAATGATAATGGCAATTCAGATACCACTCACAGCTCACTAATGATGGTAATGACAATTCAGATACCAGTCACAGCTCTTATTAATGATGGTAATGACAATTCAGATACCAATCACAGCTCATTAATGATGGGAAGGACAGACAATTCTTGTATACACATTGTGGTGGTCTCAGCTGTGTCTACAGGGTTGAGTTTTTCCACTTAGAACTCCAATTTTGCCCATTAATTATTTAGTACACTAATTATATATTTGTAAGGTCATTGTGAGGAATAATTAGTTTATATATATTGGTTCATATATCCTGGTTCATTTGAACTTGTAGTTTCCAATTATGTTTCCTCATTAATTTCATTACAGTGTTGAAGAGCTTAACAGACTCATACCAAGGAACTCCTAGGTCTAATAAATAACCATCAGATAACAGAATTTGCTTGAAATTAACTAGATTTTATCTTAAACAGTGAGGAAGTAATTAGAGACGTTACAATACTAAGACAGATAAACTTTGATCATTGACATGCAAGTAACCATAAATTCACGTGTAGACACCCTGAGAGATAAACGGGAAGGAATGTTCAGTATTAACCAGGATAAACTATTGAACATTCTCCAAGTAACTATCTTGAGTACTCTCAGCCTGAAGTTAACTTGAGTACTCTCAACCAGAAGTTACCTTGAGTACTCTCAGCCAGAAGTTACCTTGAGTACTCTCAGCCAGAAGTTACCTTGAGTACTCTCGACTTGAAGTTACCTTGAGTACTCTCAGCCTGAGGTTACTTTGAGTACTCTCAGCCTGAAGTTACCTTGAGTACTCTCAGCCAGAAGTTACCTTGAGTACTCTCAGCCAGAAGTTACCTTGAGTACTCTCGACTTGAAGTTACCTTGAGTACTCTCAGCCTGAGGTTACTTTGAGTACTCTCAGTCTGAAGTTACCTTGAGTACTCTCAGCCAGAAGTTACCTCGAGTACTCTCAACCTGATGTTACCTTGAGTACTCTCAGGCCAAAGTTACATTGAGTACTCTCAGCCTGGAGTTTACCTTGAGTACTCTCAGCCTGGAGTTTACCTTGAGTACTCTCAGCCTGGAGTTTACCATGAGTACTCTCAGTCTGGAGTTTACCTTGAGTACTCTCAGCCTGAAGTTACCTTGAGTACTACCAGCCTGAAGTTACCTTGAGTACTGTCAGCCTGAAGTTACCTTGAGTACTCTCAGCCTGAAGTTAACTTGCATACTCTCAGCCTGGAGTTACCTTGAGTACTCTCAGCCTGGAGTTACCTTGAGTACTCTCAGCCTGGAGTTACCTTGAGGACTCTTAGCCTTAAGTTACCTTAAGTACTCTCAGTCTGAAGTTACCTTGAGTACTCTTAGCCTGAAGTTACCTGGAGTACTCTCAGCCAGAAGTTACCTTGAATACTCTCAGCCTGAAGTTACCTTGAGTACTCTCAGCCAGAAGTTACCTTGAGTACTCTCGACTTGAAGTTACCTTGAGTACTCTCAGCCTGAGGTTACTTTGAGTACTCTCAGCCTGAAGTTACCTTGAGTACTCTCAGCCAGAAGTTACCTTGAGTACTCTCAGCCTGAAGTTACCTTGAGTACTCTCAGGCCAAAGTTACTTTGAGTACTCTCAGCCTGAAGTTACCTTGAGTACTCTCAGCCAGAAGTTACCTGGAGTACTCTCAACCAGAAGTTACCTTGAATACTCTCAGCCTGAAGTTACCTTGAGTACTCTCAGCCTGAAGTTACCTTGTGTACTCTCAGGCCAAAGTTACATTGAGTACTCTCAGCCTGGAATTTACCTTGAGTACTCTCAGCCTGGAGTTTACCATGAGTATTCTCAGTCTGGAGTTTACCTTGAGTACTCTCAGCGTGAAGTTACCTTGAGTACTCTCAGCCTAAAGTTACCTTGAGTATTCTCAGCCTGGAGTTACATTGAGTACTTTCATCCTGAAGTTTCCTTGAGAACTCTCAGCCTGAAGTTACCTTGAGTACTCTCAGCCTGAAGTCATCTTGAGTACTCTCAGCCTGAAGTTACCTTTAGTATTCTCAACCTGAAGCTACCTTGAGTACTCTCAGCCTGAAGTCACCTTGAGTACTCTTGGCCTGAATTTACCTTGAGTACTCTCAGCCTTAAGTTACCTTGAATACTCTCAGCCTGAAGTTACCTTGAGTACTCTCAGCCTGAAGTCACCTTGAGTACTCTCAGCCTGAAGTCACCTTGAGTTCTCTTGGCCTGAATTTACCTTGAGTACTCTCAGCCTTAAGTTACCTTGAATACTCTCAGCCTGAAGTTACCTTGAGTACTCTCAGCCTGAAGTCACCTTGAGTACTCTCAGCCTGAAGTTATCTAGAGTAATCTCAGCCTGAAGTTACCTTGAGTACTCTCAGCCTGATGTTACCTTGAGTACTCTCAGCCTGAAGTTACCTTGTGTACTCTCAGCCAGAAGTTACCTTGAGTACTCTCAGCCTGAATTTACCTTGAGTACTCTCAACCTGAAGTTACCTTGAGTACTCTCACCCTGAAGTTACCTTGAGTACTCTCAGCCTGAAGGTACTTTGAGTACTCTCAGCCTGTTACCTTGAGTACTCTCAGCCAGAAGTTACATTGAGTACTCTCAGCTTGAATTTACCTTGAGTACTCTCAGCCTGAAGTTACCTTGAGTACTCTCAGCCTGAAGTCACCTTGAGTACTCTCAGCCTGAAGTTATCTTGAGTATTCTCAGCCTGAAGTTACCTTGAGTACTCTCAGCCTGAAGTCACCTTGAGTACTCTCGGCCTGAATTTACCTTGAGTACTCTCAGCCTGAAGTTACCTTGAGTACTCTCAGCCTGAAGTCACCTTGAGTACTCAGCCTGAAGTTACCTTGAGTACTCTCAGCCTGATGTTACCTTGAATACTTTCAGCCTGAAGTTGCCTTGAGTACTCTCAGCCTGAAGTTACCTTGAGTACTCTCAGCCTGAAGTTACTTTGTGTACTCTCAACCTGAAGTTACCTTGAGTACTCTCAGCCTGAAGTTACCTTGAGTACTCTCAGCCTGAAGGTGCTTTGAGTGCTCTCAGCCTGATGTTACCTTGAGTACTCTCAGTCTGAAGTTACCTTGAGCACTCTCAGCTTGAATTTACCTTGAGTACTCTCAGCCTGAAGTTACCTTGAGTACTCTCAGCCTGAAGTCACCTTGAGTACTCTCGGCCTGAAATTACCTTGAGTACTCTCTGCCTGGAGTTACCTTGATTACTCTCAGCCTGGAGTTACCTTGAGTTCTCTCAGCCTGGAGTTATATTGAGTACTCTCAACCTGAAGGTACTTTGAGCACTCTCAGCCTGAAGTTACCTTGAATACTCTCAGCCTGAAGTTACCTTGAGTATTCTCAGCCTGAAATTACCTTGAGTACTCTCAGCCTGATGTTACCTTGAGTACTCTCAGCCTGAAGTTACCTTGAGTACTCTCAGCCTGAAGTTACCTTGAGTACTCTCAGTCAGAAGTTACCTTGAGTACTCTCAGGCCAAAGTTGCATTGAGTACTCTCAGCCTGGAGTTTACCTTGAGTACTCTCAGCCTGGAGTTTACCATGAGTACTCTCAGTCTGGAGTTTAAATTGAGTACTCTCAGCATGAAGTTACCTTGAGTACTCTCAGCCTGAAGTTACCTTCAGTACTCTTAGCCTGAAGTTTCCTTGAGTACTCTCAGCATGAAGTTACCTTGAGTACTGTCAGCCTGAAGTTACCTTGAGCACTGTTGGCCTGAAGTTACCTTGAGTACTCTCAGCCTGAAGTTCCCTTGAGTACTCTCAGCCTGAAGTTAACTTGCATACTCTCAGCCTGGAGTTACCTTGAGTACTCTCAGCCTGGAGTTACCTTGAGTGCTCTCAGGAAGGAGTTACCTTGAATACTCTCAGCCTGTAGTTACCTTGAGTACTCTCAGCTTGAAGTTACTTTGTGTACTCTCAGGCTTAAGTTACATTGGGTACTTTCAGCCTGGAGTTTACCTTGAGTACTCTCAGCCTGGAGTTTACCATGAGTACTCTCGTTCTGGAGTTTACCTTGAGCACTCTCAGTGTGAAGTTACCTTGAGGACTATCAGCCTTAAGTTACCTTGAGTACTCTCAGCCTAAAGTTACCTTGAGTATTCTCAGCCTGGAGTTATATTGAGTACTTTCATCCTGAAGTTTCCTTGAGAACTCTCAGCTTTAAGTTTCCTTGATCACTCTTAGCTTGAAGTTACCTTGAATACTCTCAGGCTGAAGTTACCTTGAGTACTCTCAGCCTGAAGTTACCTTGAGTACTGTCAGCCTGAATTTACCTTGAGTACTCTAAGCCAGAAGTTACCTTGAGTACTCTCAACCAGAAGTTACCTTGAGTGCTGTCAGCCTGAAACTACCTTGAGTACTCTCAGTCTGAAGTTTACCTTGAGTGCTCAAATCCAACCCCCCTCACTTATGTATTTAAGACTTAAACTGTCCAAACGTAGATCTACATTTTTTTTCAGCATTTGAAGGTATGTAAAAAACGTAGATCTTCTTTTCTTTTTTTTACATTTGAAAACGTGTAAAAAAAAACTTTGATCTACTTTTTTTTGTTATGTTTGAAAATCTGTAAAAAAACGTAGATCTACTTTTGGAGCACTATGCATGTGAACGTAGATCTGTTTGGACAGTTTAAGGGTTAAGAACATGAGAACATTAGAAACACTGCAGCAGGCCTGTTGGCCCATACTAAGCAGGTCCTTTACAATTCATCCCACTAACAAAACATTTGTCCAACCCAATTTTCAATGCCACTCACTCAAATCCAACCCCTCTCACTCATGCATTTATCCAACCTAAATTTGAAACTACCCAAGGTTTTAGCCTCAATAACCAAACTAGGTAGACTGTTCCACTCATCAATTACCCTATTTCCAAACCAATACTTTCCTATATCCTTTATAAATCTAAACTTGTCTAATTTGAATCCATTACTGCGGGTTCT